CCTTTCCTCTTAATTGTAAAATAAACATTACCTTAAAAAATAATATATACTTCCTTGAATTTCAAAAGAACGCCCCTCTTTGGAACCTCCTTTATATAGGAGACCTTTGTAGAGGTCTATTATGAAAGACTTCCTCAATGGTTCCCAAAATATTAAAAATCTCCTGTGTTCTTTCCTGTATGAAAGATGCTTCTGTTTCATTTACATAATTATTAAAATACAATTATTTACCGATGTATACTAATTTCGAACGGGTTCATCGAAAGGATAAAGCCTGCGACGATGAGTTTTTTTTTTTTCAAATGGAACATAAACAGTATTTGAATAGGAAAATCACCTTTCAATTACCAATTTAGACACACTAACAGTTTTGTCGTTACAATTTTCAAATTTTGTGTTTGTCTTGTTTAGTTTTTTTCAAATCTATCTTTATTTATTTGTCTACAACTATTATCATTACTTGAAACTTCTTCCACATTTCGTTACCACCTTGAAAAGGACCTCAGAGGCTTATTACCGGCTTGTACGTGTTGCACAAAACTGCTGCACTAAAGTGAACCTAATAACTTTCGCCAGATTTATGGCATTTTTATAACTCCGTAACAATAGTTTTGGGACATTTTGGGTTTTTTTTTGGAATTCAATAAAGTTCGGGCAAATCCTTTTGGAAAAATATGTGCAGACATATGTTGCTGTTGTTGTTGCTAATCTTCTTCTTTTTCTCTTTTCGAATCACTTTTCCAATTTTCCTAGCTTCACAAAAAAAAAAAAAAAGAAAATAGAACCGAGCAGAAAACTACAACAAAACGAATTAGTCATAAGGACTTAGAAAACTTAAAGCAAAAGAAATGAATTTGTGGTAACAAATGTTATTGTTGGAAAACTTCTCTAACGTCTTCATAGTCTCGTTGTGTTGCACTGCAGGGAAATTCCTACGAAAGGGAAGGAAACTTTATTTGTTTTTGTTTGTTTGGATTTCCATACATAGTGTGTTTGCAAAAAAATAGTATTTGCATTATCTCTCTTTCCACGAAGGAAGTTCTACTGCTCCGCCAGTCTGCAGGAGTTTTAGGGGTTTGCAAACTTCGAAGACAAATAGGAAATTCATATTGAATCTCTAACAGAAGAAAAAGTAGGATGTATATGAAATATTTGCAGAGATGGGTTTTTAATTAAGGTCTATGACACGATCAGCCTTATTGTCAGGACTTTATATTTATGGACAAAATGTGCCTTATCGGAATAACGGGTTTAGAGCTCACCCGTTGTGGGATATTTGGAATCGATTTTACTGGGTTCGTCTGTCTGTCTGGTCGGTTGGTGCGTACGATTACTCTCAAAGAGTGTATCCGATCGAGTCAAAATTTTCTTGCATCGCAATATTTTCTAAAATTTTGATTGTGTATGGGGTCGGGTCCCTTCGGCAGACCTCGCTCGATTTTGCTCAAAGAGTGAAACTCACTCGAATTCGAGTGACTCAGGAGTGCTCCCACTCAAAACGAAAGGGAGAAACGTTGACTCCGTAAACAACTCCCACACTTTGAGCAATCCTATTCGCGAGCAAGTTTCTTATCCGAGTGAAATTAAACTAATCTGATCTCTGACAAAAAAAATGAAAATACAGCACACCAAAACATATGAACGAAAATGGACAATTTTGACCCTGTCCATTTCATATCCCTCTCACAAAAGATAACCATTTTGAACATTATCTCTCATAGAATGTCTGATTTTCGCAGATGGGATACATGGTCCATCCCTTTCTTTCACCAATCTTATAAAACCTCAATTTTTTTTTGAAAACACATATTTCACATTCAGAACAAAATAAAATTTTAAAAATAGCAATATTTGAATCAGACGCACGTCTTGTCGTGATATGCTAAATATCGGTCATTCCTGCCGATATCTCGACCATAAATAGTTTAATTCTGAGCAGTCATGACAATATGAGAAGTTTATCTAGGGTCTTCTTCAAACTCCAAAAATCCCAATATGGTTAATATGATCGAAGTTTTAAGGAGAGATACTAGTGTCTGATTTTCGGAAATCATAGACCTATTTCTTTATTCCCACCAATGGTAAACTTTTGTGAACAAAAATCCCGAATATCCAATAAATGAATGATGTCGCCGCCTCGGTCCTATTTCGCATCTCATACTATGTTTGCTACAGTCTGACCAGATCAGTAGAGCTTTTCAAGGATGTCCGGGCCAAGAATCAAGGATATAATAAAAATGTTTACTTCAAGCTTCAATGCCAGGAATATTTTTTATTTATTTATTTATTTATTTATTTATTTATTTTTTTTTTTTTGTAAAACTTTTATCAAAGACTTCCCGGAGGAATATTAGTTGTGGATTTCTGTTATATGTTATTTTCAAGTCATTTTAAGGTAAATATTTTATAAAATACTTTATAAGACATTCCTGTATATTTTATTTTTGCTTTTAAAACAAACAAACTTTAAAACATTTTAACCAGGTCGTGAGATTTTAAAAATATACAAATATTCTGTTCAATAATTGTTGTTTTTGCAAAGAATTTGGCAAAAAAAAAAAAATAGGAAAATACCGTTAAATTGGGGCCTACGCGAAAACATGTACATGAATGTCGCATGTCGACTTTCCGGTGAATAATGTCGCAAAAACCATCAAAATCTCGAATATAAGGAGGTACCGTTATATGACGATGACCTGGACCTGCGTAAGCAATTAATTATCACAGGCTACAGTAGCTATTAGGAAGTTCAAATACAAAAATTGAGCAAATTCCGGTAAATAATGTCGCTGAAATCATCAAAATATCGAAGATAGGGAGTTACGGTTACATTGGACTTATACGAAGACCTGGGCCTGCATAAACAACAGTCACAGGCTGTAGCACCCATCTGGATCTTCAAATATGAAATTTAATACAATTCCAATGCTATCGCCAAAATCATCAAAATACCGTACATATAGAGAGGTACCGTTTTATGGGGACTATATGAAGACCTGGACCTGCAAAGACAATTTTCTTTCTTAGGCTGTAATATCCATTACTAACTTCAAGCGAATCAATTTTAAAACAATTCCGGCGAATAATGAAGCTAAAATCGTCAAAATAACGAATATCGGAGGATGCCGTTATATGGGGGCTATACGAAGGCGTGAACCAGACTGTAGTACCTATTAGAAACTTTAAATACGAAATTTTAAATAACTCCGATGAATAATGCCGCTAAAATCATCAAAATAACGAATATAGGGGCTATACGATGACCTGGACCTGTATAGGCAATTTTTTGTCACAGTCTGCAGTACCCAAGAGAAACTTAAAACTTTTAATTTAAAACATTTCCGGTGAAAAGTGTTACACAAACTTTAAAAATAATGAATATCTCGAGCACTAACCAGGCATGTAAGTTACATAATCGGAACACCTGCAGGCAATTTACAACAAGCTGGGGTCAAACTTGTGACTAAACACCAAAAAAAAAACTTTAATCGGCCGGTACAGTTATATGGAGGCTATACCTAAACGTGGACCTATATAGCCCATTTTTAATACCAAGAGTCCTGCAGACATAACATATACGGGGTGAAATGAAAAAACTGCAACCAACATCAGACGGCTGTCACTTCTAAGCCAATTAAAATTATACCAGTGACAGCTCATTATATTGTTTGCAAGCGTACGAAAGCATTTTTGTGACAATTTTCCAGAAAAAAAATTTTTCCTGATAGAGTTCAAGCTCTTTATATTTGGCTGGAAACCCACAAGTGCCTATCGTTAGAGCACTCCAGCATTTAAATGTGAATAAATCTTTTGTGTCTCGTACCATCGCTCGTTACCGTAATACCGGTAGCGTAGCCCGAGGTCAAGGAGGTGGACGGAAGAAAACAGCAATATTAGCAGAAAAGGTTCGAAAATTAAAGAAGTGACTTGATCGAAACCCGCGTTGCAGTAGCGGAAAAAATGGCTTGTGAGCTGAATAAATCGCAATAATCCATTCGGCAAATATTGCAAAATGAGCTCGAGGCAAAGCCATTGAAATGCCAAAAAGTGCAAGAACTTACACCGCAACAGAAAGAAAAAAGACGCAAAAGAGCTAAAGAGTTGCTTCGCTTGGCTGAAAGTGGTGAACTGCCGAATTTGGTTTTATCCGATAAGAAAACATTCATTGTCCAGCAGTTTGTAAACAAACAAAATGATCGTATCTACTTGCCAAAGAGGTTAGCTAAAATGTGCACCTTCGGTTGGCCACCAGAACTCAAGCGCCGGCCACGGTTATGGTGTGGGCCGCCATGACCGTGGCATCAGAATAAATGGCGAATAATATCGCGAAAATATTCCGGAGGGTGTATTAAAGTCTTGGACATTCTAACAGGACTCAGCACGCGCCACCCAAGAATGGTTACAAAATGAGGTTCCTCTCTACATTTCCAGCGCACAATGGCCACCAAAATCTCTGGATACCAATCCGTTGGACTATTGTGTCTGGAGTTTTTTGGAATGCAAGGTTGACACCAAAAAAACCAAAGTGACGATCACCTCAAGCAAGCGCTTCGCCGGTAATGGGCCAAAATAACGCAGAGCAACATTCGGGCAGCGTGTGACGGTTTCATTGGCCAAAGGTGACCAATTCTAACAAATCTAAACTTATTCTAAAATTTGATGCTATTTCCGACATTTTTTCTTTCATTCAATAAAATTTAAAAATGTAAAAATTGTGGCGTTTGACTTTGTTGCAGTTTTTTTATCTCACCTTGTATACCCTCCATATTATGGTGTAGGGTAAAAAACTATGTGTATGACAAAGTGCCTATCAAAATGGGATATTATTAAAATATATGTCTTGGATGTTCGCCTCCAGTGAATCTGTCCTTCAGGGTTTTTAATTCATTCACTAAAGGCATTCATTGCCAATATTCGGTGAAACCTTAGAACATATATTTAAATTAGTTTTAATTTTTATTAATTAATTAATTTTTTTTTTATTTTTCAGGTGGTAAATTTTATGGACAAGGAAGAATCTATCTCACCCCTGGATCAACAATAAAACACCAATAAAAATATAAATTTTTTATAAAAATCAAACAAAGAAGTCTCCTAACAAAAATACACTTCAAATGCCGTTGAGACGATATAACTAAGCGTTGCATGTTTGTTGCATGTGCTAAAATAATGTTGTTGCAGCATTGCAACATTTATGCTGGCATAGACTCGTTTGGATTTGTCTATAACACAAGTGGCGAACAACAAAGAGAAGAGCAACAACAACAACAGCAGCAGAGGCGACAGAAATATCAGCAAGACTCAGAGCAAAGCCAAAGACTAGGCCATTCAATCCACACTCGAAACAACAGCTGCAGCAGGAACAGCAACACCCACAACAACAGCAGCTGCAGCAGCAGCGGCAACAAACAACACCAACATCTGTATCGACAAACCGTGTCGAGTTGATGGGCCCCTGGTACCTAATTGGGGCCCTCCTACTGCTATCAGCAAGAGCGGGGGACTCCACCAACAAGATCATACCACAGCAGATTGGCTCGTCGCACACCAATGCCGCCAACGGCATCAGTGGAATGCATCACCACATACCCAAGAACTCCATTGCGACCAATGCGGTCAACAACAACAACAACAAAGGCACAGTGCTCAGCGGCAATGGGGTTATCGTAGCCGGTGGTGGCTCAATTAGCCCATCATCGTCGCTTAACAGTAAGTATTGCCGATCACACACACACCTACACACAATGCAATCAAGCTGGCCATTATTGACGCTTGTTACCTTTTGCTCCACAAATTTTGATGGAGTTGTGTTTTTTTTTCGGTTCAATTGTTGTCACAAAATATTCGGTATTTTTTTTCGGAATAGGCGAAGTACGTGTGAGTGAGTGTCTGCCTGTGTGTTCGTCATGGTGTCAGGCATGAAGAGTTTTCAATTTTTCGTTTGGAATATGATAAATGTTAACATATGTATATTTATTCGAATACCTAACGCCGGAGAGATGATACTCAGCAAATGTGTCCAGTTGTTGGACCGTTCTTTCGACCACCATTTGTGGCCGTGGTGCTGGTGGTGGTGGCAATGGAAAGTGGCATTTATGTAAATTTAGTTTACTCAATGGCTGAGCATGAGCATGTGTGTGTGCGTCATGGCCACAAAAAAAGCCAGAATCGCAAATTTCTATAAAACCATTTTCTAGCCACAATCAAACCAATCTCTCCGTCGTACAGTGGAAGTGTTGAAAATTTAATTTGTCAATAATATTTGAAAAATTGCATTTGATGATGGATGTGGGTTAGGAGTGTTGGGGAGGTAGCATATTCAGCCAAAGGGACCTGTGGGAAAATTATTTTGTAAACTTTATTGAAAGAAATAATGTAAGGACCCTGGGCGGAAAAAAATCCCAGAAAAAAGGAAGAGAAAGCCCCTTGAGTTGTTCTAAGGCCCTAGAGATTTTCTTTTTCCAGAGGCATCAGAGAAGGCCCCAGTGACCTTCTTTTCTATAGGGAAAAGTAGGACCCTGAGGCCTTCTCTTCTATGCGGAATAGAAGGCCCCGAGAGGCATTCTCTTCTATGCGGAATAGAAGGCCCCGAGAGGCCTTCTCTTCTTCTATACGGAAAAGAAGGCCCAGAGGCCTTCTCTTCTTCTATACGGAAAAGAAGGCCCCGAGAGGCCTTCACTTCTATACGGAATAGAAGGCCGCGAGAGGCCTTCTTTTCTATACGGAATAGAAGGCCGCGAGAGGCCTTCTTTTCTATACGGAATAGAAGGCCCCGTGAGGCCTTCTCTTCTATACGGAATAGAAGGCCCCGTGAGGCCTTCTCTTCTATACGGAATAGAAGGCCCCGAGAGGCCTTCTCTTCTATACGGAATAGAAGGCCCCCGGAGGCCTTCTCTTCTATACGGAAAAGAAGGCTCCCAGAGGCCTTCTCTTCTATACGGAAAAGAAGGCTCCCAGAGGCCTTCTCTTCTATACGGAAAAGAAGGCCCCCAGAGGCCCCCAGAGGCCTTCTCTTCCATACGGAATAGAAGGCCCCCAGAGGCCTTCTCTTCCGTACGAAATAGAAGGCCCCCAAAGGCCCTCTCTTCTATCAAAATAAAAGGCCCCCAGAGGCCTTCTGTTTTATACGGAATAACAGGCCCTCGGAGGCCTTCTGTTCTATACGGAATAGCAGGCCCTCAGAGGCCTTCTGTTCTATACGGAATAGCAGGCCCTCAGAGGCCTTCTGTTCTATATAGAATAGAAGGCCCCCAGAGGCCTTCTCTTCTATACGGAATAGAAGGCCCCGAGAGGCCTCCAGAGGCCTTCTCTTCTATACGGAATAGGAGGTCCCCAGAGGCCTTCTCTTCTATACGGAATAGGAGGCCCCCAGAGGCTTCTGAGGCCTTATTTTAGCTATAGAAAAGAAAACCTCTGAGGTCTTCTTTGTTCTATAAAATAGAATGACCCAGAGGTATTCTCTTCCATTCGGAAAAGAAGGACCGAGAGGCCTTTTCTTCTATGCGGAATTGAAGGCCGCGTAGGCCTTCTTTCTTCGTTATAGAAGAAAAGGCCTCTGAGACCTTATTTTCGCTATAGAAAAGAAAACCTCTGAGGTCTTCCTTGTTCTATAAAATAGAAGCCCTCCTAGGCCTTCTTTTCGTTGTAGAATAGAGGGCCTCTGGGGCCATCTTTCTGGACCTTCTTTTCACTATAGAAGGGAAGGCCTCAGAAGCCTTCTTTTTTCTTTTCTCTATAGAAGAAAGGCCTTCTCTTTTACATTTAGTAACTTAAAATGTTAAGCTCTGTGTCCACAGTAAATTTGTCTTTGTTTTTCTATCCAACAGTTCACTGGAGTTCAGTTGTTAATACTGTCCCGCAAATTGTTATTATATTGGTCCTTTATGGAGGTGTTTTTTTTTTTCTTTTTTTTGTTTGGGCACACCAACATTTCAGGGTGGTCGCATGGTTTTTGTGTTCCCACTGATGACAATGATACTACTGCTTATGATATTGGCCACCATGTGGTGCGGCATGGTAACGGCACATTGAGGTTAGTGAATATCTCGACAAAAAAAGTGCACGAGATATAGACCCGGAAAAAAAACTATCAACAGATGTTGTAAATTCTCTGTGATGTGTGGCAAATGTGGATTGTTGGTTCGTTGGTCGCTTGTTTGGTCAATTATTCACTGTTACAATATGTTTATTTTTGGGAGACTCTCTCACTTTTTGTTGCTATTCCTCTGAAAAGAGAAAATAAGCATATGCCGGGTAAAGGTTTCAAATATTTGGGTCGAAAAAAGAATGCAACAGTAACTGGAGTTGATAAACGAATTCCAAAAGTGGTAACTCGTTTTTTTGTTGTTTTATAATTTTAAAACAATTTTTTGCCCATTAATGTGCATAAATGTGACACTTGTATGCGAATGTGATACTGTCGCACAAAATGGTGTTTGTGTTTTTTTTTTTGCTTCTTCTTGTTGTTGTCCCTGGTGATGCAGATAGCTTGCATTTCAAAGGCACCACTCTGTATGCCGAATTTATGGTTATGAGAAATATTCTGTGTTCATGGGTATAAATCTTAAAGAGCTGAACATATATATAAATATATTTGGCGAATTTTTGGGGGGATTTCAATAAATCGTGATTTATTGTGGCAGGGAAAATTTGAATTGAAAAAAAGGAACGAAAATATGAAGAATTATTTGGCAGAAGTCAATGTTCATAAAGTTTGTAATATATTGTTATTGATTAATATTATTTTATTAACAACATTTGGGTAAAAAGTTTTCGTATCAGAAAAAAAACATCAAATATATTGGAAATATGACCAAACCCCTAGCAAGAAAAGTGGACCTGTATGGGTCGATGGGCTTTAATTTGGTTTTTTGCGCGTATAACACATCTAATGGACGTAAATTACTGTGAAGTAATTATTGCACTCGTGATGCTTGAAGAAATATCCCTTAAAAATTCAAGTTTATTTGACTGCTGATTCTTGTGAAAATATCTTTTAAAAATCTCCGTCTGTTCGGCTATTAGTACTGGAAGAAACATCCTTAAAAAATCCATGTTTATTCGACTGTTGGTCCTTGAAGAAATTTCCTTTAAACGTCCATTTTTTTGGCTATTGGTCCTTGAAGGAATATCCCTTAAAATTCCACTTTTTTTTTGATTATTGGTCGTTGAAAAAGCTATCCTTACCAAAAGGTTTATTTGTCTCTTGGTCCTTGAAGACATATCCTTAAAATATCCACGTTTTGTTTACTAATGGTCCTTGAAAAAAATATCATTTAAATATCCATGTTTATTCGGCTGTTGACCCTTGAAGAAATATCCTTTAAAAATCCACTTTTATTTGACCATTGGTCCTTGAAGAAATATCCTTAACAAATTAAGGTTTATTTGACTCTTAGCCTTTCAAGAAATATCCCTTAGAAATCCATGTTTATTCGACTGTTGGTCCTTAAAAAGTATCGTTTAAAAATCCACGTTTATTCAACTATTGGTCCTTGAAATCTTTTATAAATCCACGTTTATTCGACGGTTGGTCCTTGAAAAAATATCCTTTAAAAATCCACGTTTATTGCACTCTTAGTCCTTTAAGAAATGTCTTTTAAAAATCGTTGTGTTTTCGACTTTTCATCCTTGAAAATGTATTCGACTACTGATCCTTGAGGAAATATTCTTTAAAAATCCACGTTTATTTGACTATTGATCCTTGAAGAAACATTCTTTAAAAATCCACGTTTATTTGACTATTGATCCTTGAAGAAATATTCTTTAAAAATCCACGTTTATTTGACCATTGGTCCTTGAAGAAATATCCTTAACAAATTCAGGTTTATTTGACTCTTAGCCTTTCAAGAAATATCTCTTAGAAATCCATGTTTATTCGACTGTTGGCCCTTAAAAAGTATCGTTTAAAAATCCACGTTTATTAGACTCTTAGTCCTTTAAGAAATGTCTTTTAAAAATCGTTGTGTTTTCGACATTGATCCTTGTAGAAATACCCTTTAAAAATCCACGTTTATTTGACTATTGATCCTTGAATAAATATCCTTTAAAAATCCACGTTTATTTGACTATTGGTCCTTAAGGAAATACCCTTTAAAAATCCACGTTTATTTGACTATTGATCCTTGAATAAATATCCTTTAAAAATCCACGTTTATTTGACTTTTGATACTTGAATAAATATTCTTTAAAAATCCACGTTTATTTGACTTTTGATCCTTGAATAAATATCCTTTAAAAATCCACGTTTATTTGACTATTGATCCTTGAAGAAATATCGTTTAAAAATCCACGTTAATTCGATTATTTGTCCTTGAAGAAATATTCTTTAAAGATCCAGGTTTATTTGACTCTTGGTCCTTGGGGAAATATCCTTTAAAAATTTACGTTTAATTGATTATTGATCATTGAAGGATTATCCTCTAAAAAAATCACGATTGTTCAACTAATGGTATTTGAAGAAATATCCTTAAAATCCACGTTTATTCGATTGTTAGTCCTTCAATAAATATCCTTTAAAAATCCACCTTTATTCGACTGTTAATCCATGAAGAAATGCCCTTTAAAAATCCATGTTTATTTGAGTATTTGTCCTTGTTTATTTATTTCACTGTTGATCTTTGAAAAAATATCCTTTAAAAATCCAAGTTAATTCAACTGTTGGTCCTTGAAATAATATCCTTTAAGAATCCAAGTTAATTCAACTGTTG